AAGCATGCTCTTATCTAAAACTACTATTTATTAGATTTCAGCACACACAGACATAAGCAATAGATTTAGAACATCCCAAATTACTTACAATCTGAGATGAGATCAAGTAATTAGCAGCAGGTTAGCAATGGCCGGTTGCTTCCCCACCACAGTATTAGCTAAGGATTTTGTAACTAATTTTTACAAAACACGTAGCTCATAGTGATGCCCTTTGGGTCATCACTTTTCCTAATTCAATCAACTACTCATCAACAAAACATTCCTACTAACCATAGCCATAGAAGCTGCTAGATTAAGGGCATCCAAACTCAAGGTCTCCATCCACTTGGTTTTCTTTTGAGCTCACAATTGGTTGGCTCTTCTCTCCCCTCGGATTAGGATTAGCAGAAACTACAAGCCTGCAACTAATATTTGACCTTGGCACTGGCACGAGGTCCTTTGCCAGCACCGCTACATTGTGATGGCTCACACCTCTTCACCCCCGGGCTGGCGCAGCTGTGCCAGTGAATGTGTGTAGCATACCCTGTGCCTCTCCTGCTGTTACCGCCAAGCCCCGCCTGGGAAAGGCCGTCACTCTGCCCTTGCTGCTGCAGCTCCCTGAGCCAGGGCACATCACTGGCATCACCAGCTCCTGGCTGGCCCGTGGCAGGGGAAACCAGGACACAGTGCAGGGAAGGTGCTGGCCCAGGGCTATCCCGTCACGGGCTGCAACACCACAGCTGGTCTGTGCGGGCTTGGGGGCTTGGCTCTGTTCCTCTCCCAGCCCCAGTAAAAGCCCTGCCACAAGTGGCCTGTGCAGCCAGTGCACCTCACAGTTCCCAGCCGGCTGTTCCTTCCGTCAGGCCCCGTGGCACACAAATGACAGCTTCTCTTCCGGGCCGGTTGTGAGCGCCACGTCCGCCTCCTCCAAAAAAGGACTTTTGGCCCAGCCCTGCATGCAGCAGGGTGCTGGGAGATCTACCCATCCTCCACCAGCCTCCTCCCTCAAAGAACAGCAGCTCTCCCCCCCAGACCTGCTCTCAACTCCCCAGCAGGCCCAGCTCTCCAGCCGGTGAGGGAGCCCTTCCCAGCCAAACCAGTTACGGGCTGTCTCTGGGGCCGAAGCAGCCAGGAGATGGGACCCACTGGAATGACTCAGGCTCACTATAACACACCTCCTCCAGCGCTGTATTCATCAGCACAGCCCCCTCCGCTCTGACCCTGGGGCTGGAGGAGCAGTCACCTGGACTTTGCTATTGGGCAGGGTGAACGGGAGGCTGCGAGGACACTGGCCCCACGAGAGGGGACTGGCTGGGTCGAGGCCGTGGATTCGTTGTTGCACACGAACCACATTGTTCCTGGAGGGCAAGGGGGGGCACAGTGCGTTTGTGCACCAGCTGCTCTGCCTGTAGCATGAAGCTGGCTGTGGGGCAGACAGTCGGACAGGGAGAGCAGGAATTCTACTCTCGGGCATGGGGTGCATGGGCCCAGGCCTGCACTGGGGGAGGGGCGGCTGTGCTACTTTCCTGCTGGCGGGAGGACCCCGATCTCAGCCACAACCCCAGCCAGCACGGCCCAAGCCCTGCTCATGCCCCACCAGCCCCCAGGAAGGGGAATTTCAAGGGGAGTGAGGGACATGCCCAGGCAAGAGAAGGCCCAGCCATGTGCCCAAGATGAGTCATGCTGAGGGGAAGGCCAGCGCTGGGCTGGTATCCCTGACACCAGCTCCCCCTTTGCCACAGCTCAACACCCCCCTCTCACTTCCCTTCACCTCAGTCCCTGCTCAGCCAGGACCCCAGCCCGCCCCTCCTCCCACCCTAACCCTAACCCTACCCCACGCCCTGGGGCTGATCTGCCAGCCATGCCCCCCACAGCCAGAGCATCCTTAATGCCCCCATGTGGCATCCTGGGAATCCACCAGCCAAGCCCTGTGGTCCTCCCCCACACACTGGCCTCA